CTGAGGCAGGAGAATTGCTTGAACCTGGGAGGTAGAGTTTGCAGTGAGCCGAGATCATGCCACTGCACTCCAGGCTGGCGCCTGGTGACAGAGTGAGACTCTGTCTCAAAAAAAAAAAAAAAAGAAGAAGAAGATTTCCCTTTGTGATTAGAAAGAAGCTACTTGGAAAAATGAAGTTTAAAAGTAATAATCCCAAACACCACAGGATGGGGATATTCCTTAGAATGCAAAGTTGACACCCCTTTCCTCTGTCCATTCCTGTCACGCTGAGCCCCCACCTCCACCATATAAATTCTCTTTTCCAACTCTCTAGTACAGAAAGGAGAGGATTTTTCTTTCTCCTTTTGGATCTTCCTTCTTTTCTCAAACATTAAATACCTAGCGTCTTGGTCCTTTTGGGCTGCCATAACAAGCTACCAGAGACTGGGTGGTTTAGCAACAATGGAAATTTATTTCTCAAAGGTCTGGAGGCTGGGAAGTCCAAGATCAAGGTGCTGGCAGATTCATTGTCTGGTGAGGGCCACTTCCTGGCTCATAGATTGTGCCTGCTTATTGTGTCCTCACATGGCAGAAGAGGCGAGGGGAATCTCTGAGATCTCTCTTGTGAAGGCGCTAATCCCACTCATGAGGGCTCCACCCCCTCACACAATCACCTCCCAAAGGCCTCAGCATCTAATTCCATATGCCTGGAGGTGAGGATTTCAACATGGGAATTTGGCTGGGGACATAAACATTCAGCTCATAGCACCTACTTTTTTTTTTTTTTCCTTGAGACAAAGCCCAGGCTGGAGTGCAGTGGTGCAATCTCAGCTCACTACAACCTCCACCCCCAAGGCTCAAATGATCCTCCTACCTCAGCCTCCCAAGTAGCTGGGACCACAGGTGTACACCACCATGCCCAGCTAATTTTTTTTCTTTTGTATTTTTTGTGGAAATGGTTTCACCATGTTGCCCAGGCTCATTTGGAACTTCTGGGCTCAGGCAATCCACCTGGCTCAGCCTCCTAAATTGTTGGGATAACAGGTGTGAGCCACTGTGCCCGGCCGGGACCTACTATTTATCAAGCGCTCTATCAGGTGCTGATGACACAGTGGAAAAGAAGTGCCAGTTCCTGTCCTCATAGGGATGATAGTCTAATGAGGAAATCTGACACTGGACAAATGGGAATGGGGAAGAGAGAGGACCATGGCAGCTGGGACAAACCCTGGTGTGGGAGTCAGGGATGGATCAGGGAGGGCTCCCCTCAGAAGCAGTGGTATTTAGGCTGAGACTTGAAGGATAGCAATTGTAGCGATTATGAGTGGGCCGGTGGGAGGAGGAAATCTCTCTCTGTGCAGAGAAACAGCATCAGTGCTGAGTATGTCAGGCAGGGTGGAGTCTACGGGCAGGGCAAGGGGGCAGAGGGACCAGCTGCAGTTGGAGAGGTGGTCAAGGGCTCCGTGGCCTGGGGCCAGGTGGTCAAGAGCTCCGTGGACCCAAACACAGGATTTGCTGTTCCAGAATCACTGGCGATGAGTTCATCTATTTGAATATTTCAATGGGAGTATTCTGCTGCTATTCATATCTTTTGAGAGGCTTACACATTAACGCTGGGATATAATTTTTCATTTTTAAAAACTTCCCAATTAAGAGTTCACTTAAAAGTGAGGGACATGCCTGTTGACATCTTTTTTTTTCCTTGAGTAAGAAGAAAAAAACTTGAATAGTGCAGTAACATATAAGGAAATAGACTCTGTCATTAAAAATCTTCCCACAAAGAAAACACTGGGATTGGAAGCTTTAAAAGGTAAGCTCTAGGGTGCATTCAATAAATAGAGCGTCTAAATCTTACACAAATACTTCCAGAATATAGAAAAAGAGAAAACACCTGGTTCATTTCATGAAACTTGAGGAATTTTCAAGATCCCAGTCTCTAAAAAATATGAACAAAATAAAAACATATGGAAAAGGTAGGTTCACTGGTGCATTGAACTCTCATATTCTGGTAATTCGTCCGTAGATTGTTTGGGGTTTTCTGTGTACACAATCATATCATCTGTAAATGCTTCGTTTTGTTTCTTCCTTTCCAATCCTCATAACGTTTTCTTCTCCTTTTTCTTTTCTTACCATGCAGGTCAAGCTCTCAGGCACATTGCTGAAAGGTATTTTCATCTTGTTTCTAATGTTTAAAAGGAATGTTGCTAATATTTACATTTAAGTATGTTTGTTGCAAGTTTTTGATAGATAGCTTTAGGAGATGGTCCTACGTTTCTTTGCAAAGAGGTTTTGTTATTGAAGAATATTCAATCTTCTGTATCTATTGAGATAACTACATAATTTTCTCCTTTAATCTGTTAATGTGATGAATTACATGAATAGCTATCCTAATACTAAACCAAATTTGCATTTCTAGGATAAATACAGCTTGCATGATATATAATGCTTTTTACATTTTGCTACATTTGTTAATGTGTTGTTTATAGTTTTTGCATCTTTGTTGATGGGTGAGATTGGCATATAATCTTTCCTTTTTCCGTATGTTTTTATCTTGTTATGATTTTTTTGTTTTGTCTTAGAGACTGAAGTCTCAGAAGTTCCTCAAGTTTCATAAAATGAATCAGATGAAGTGTTTTCTCTTTTTCTATTCTCTGGAAGTATTTGCATCAGATTTAGATGTTCTATTTATTGAACATACGCTAGAGCTTACCTTTTAAAGCATCTGATCCTACTGTTTTCTTTGTGGGAAGATTTTTAACTACAGAGTCTATTTACTTATATGTTATTGCACTATTCACGTTTTTAAATTTGTGTCTTCTGTTTTTCTTTCTTGATTAGTTTTGCTTCAGGTCTGTCAATATCATTTGTCTTTTTAAAGTTCCAAATTTTGGCTTTGTTCATCCGTGATTCTGCCTGTTGCATGAATATGGCACAATTTGTCTGTCCATTCACCTGCTGGTGGATGTTACGTTGTCCCATTCTTGTTTATTACAGCTTCATCTGAACATTTATATACTTTCAGAGCCAGGCAATCTCGCTGAGGGGAGGGGGCAAGACTGGTGACAGGAGGCCATGGCAGTTATAATTTGCAGGGCACAGTCCCTGAGAGAAGGAAACTACACAGAGAAAGTTCCAGAAGAGTGCATATATTTCCCTTGAGTCTTCGGCTGAAATGGATCTGAACATGTGGAAACCCCAGGGGCACAAGGACAACTGAAGGAAGAACCATGACCAGAGCTCACACAACCTCTCTCCAGGGAGCCACTCAAGTTCCCTGAGCCAGAGAGGAAAAAGTATGCAGGGGACCGAAAGCCCTTCTTCCTGAGAGCTCTTTAGCCTGTTCTAGCTCGGGGAGATGGGGGAGAGGAATAAATAACAAAGCTGCAGTCAGGCAGGATCCCACCTCAGCTCCAAAAAGCTACAACTGGGGGCAAGGAGAAGAAAGGGGTTAAGGCAAGGCATGTCCTCCAGAGGGCTGTAGAAGAGCTATTCTAAGAAGACAAATGTCTTGCACATTTGACATTTTATAGAAACGTTAGAATAACTGTCAGGCCGGGCAAGGTGGCTTACACGTGTAATCCCAGCACTTTGGAAGGCCAAGGCGGGCAGGTCACTTGAGGTCAGGAGTTCAAGACCAGTGTGGCCAACATGACAAAACACCATTTCTACTAAAAATACAAAACTTACTCAGGCATGGTGGCTCACGCCTGTAATCCCAACTACTTGGGAGGCTGAGGCATGTGAATCACTTGAACCCAGGAGGCAGAGGTTGCAGTGAGCTGAGATGGCACCACTGCACTCTAGCCTGGGCGACAGAGGGAGACCCTGTCTCAACAAAGGGGGAAAAAGAAGGCCAGGCACAGTGCCTCATGCCTATAATCCCGGCAGTTTGGGAGGCTGAGGCAGGCGGATAAGGTTTCAACATGGTGAAACCCTGTCCCTATTAAAAATGCAAAAATTAGCCAGGTGTGGTAGTGCGTACCTGTAATCCCAACTGCTTGGGAGGCTGAGGCATGTGAATCACTTGAATCCAGGTGGCAGAGGTTGCCGTGAGCTGAGATTCGGCTACTGCACTCCAGCCTGGGCAATGAGGCAAGACTCTGTCTCAAAAAAAAAAACGACTATCATCACACAATGTTGCTGAAGAAACTCTAGGGTTCCTATGGGTAAAAAAGTGCTATCTATGGGTAAGAAAGCTTAGACGTGTCCAGGGCACGACAGTGGGTGCATTTAACTGTGACACACGTAAGCTCCAAATCAGGCACTCAAGATGAGGTCAGTCATGGTGTCTTTTAGATAGTAAAGAGGGCAGAAAAAAGTATCACTGCACTTCTCCATGGGAACCTGTTTACAGAATGGGAACCACAAAGATTTGGGTGGGTGGGGGCACCACCAGGACTTTTAGAGGAGGAAGAAAGTTGTACTTCCTTTGTGGATTTCCAGAAAGTCAACTTTTCTCTGTAGACTTAGCAAATTATCATGTAGCAATCTCAGCACAGTATTTCCAGAGGTGCCACTTTGAGCGTGTGGCCAGGACTATGCAGTGACCGGGGCCATCCCCACACACTGTTCAGGTCCTGTACCTGGAATTCCTGCCTGTCCTTAGATGAGGGGGCCAGTGACTTCACAGACCTGGTACCTAACTCTGGATGATCTTACCTTGAACGGAACTCTGGAGGCAAACACATCCCCAAGTGAGAACTCTGGGGATGTGGGGCAGAAATAGGCAGGTGTCCTTTTCTCTATTGAATGCAAAAGCAGTTTTCTTGTAAGATGGACCTTGGTGATTGTTCTGTTGCTTGGGACCCACTTCCTTTGGTTATCAGATAAGGTTTGAGCCGTCACTTTCCTTCATGTCCTTGGTCAAGACTGTGTTATTTATCAACCAGAAGTATTAGGGTGGCTTTTCCTGTAAGCTGCTCACACTACCAGTCCCCAGAGAAAAATGATCACATCATCCAATTTCAACAGCCCTCCCGACACTCACCAGGGTTTCAGGAGAAGGAATGTATGTCATGGAAAGCTTGTTAGTGACATGTTTCTTGCTTTATTGAAATTCTTTCTTACAAAAGGTCTGATGTATTTTAGGCCAGGCCTAATTTCCTTCAGTCCCTGAAATGAAGGCACATGGTCATTTCCATGTCCTCTGAAGTAGGTATGTAAACTAGGAGACGTCCATTTTTAAGGTTCAAACACCTTTTGTTTTATCTGATGTAAAACAAGAATTCTGTTTTCCCCAATGAAAAGACCAAGTAAGACAGTTGTGTGTGTCTTCATGGAAGGCATAACCGGATTCTTTGCCAGAACCCGGTTGGGATTTTAATTTGTTCAATGTGGCATCTTTTCACCTTCAGTTTTTCTTTCTTTTTTTAATGCAAACTTTGCAGTGTGCTGAGCCATGCAGTAAAAAGTGCTATGTTTATATATGCATACGTATATTGGCTCTGGAAGAGGATGCATGAGTACATGTGTGCTGCGTAAACATAGCAATTGGTCAGAAGGAGAGTCTCATCATTAGGACGTTAAGGAGTAGCAAGCATATTGGAAACAAGAATGACCTAGGGCCGCACTGGCTTAGTGGTCAGCCAGGAGTCTCGCTGGTCCTACACCTGGAGGGCCCAGGTCTCTCCACAAGCAGGCCAGTGCTCACCTGATATGACAGGTGATTGTGTATCTGAGGCCTATGAGTTTGTGATTCCCCCAAGGTGAGGTGGGTCTGCACTCACTTGCTACCAGGTAGCTCCCCTATCTCTTGAACACGTGTATGGCCCAGTTCTGCTCCTCATGTAAAAAGCAGAACACGATCTCCCCGTCTCTAGAAAGGGGGTGCAGATTGCAGACCTGTGGAGGCCCAAGGCCCCTTATTCCCACTCCCCACCCCCAGAGGTCAGAGGGAATCTTCGCTTCCTTCCACCCCTAGGGGTTCCATTAGGACTTGTGTTTTCCTGACCAGAGAGTCACACCTGGAGAGGCTTCAAAGATGCAATATCATCACCTCCAAATAGCTGAGACACACATGACTTGGCATTAACCCTGAATGCCCAGTAACAGAGCCCTGGACTCAGGTTTAACATGGGCAGCTTCCATGTCACGCTCCAAATCAGCTGTCCTCCTACATGGATGGTTGGCCTGGAAGCCAATCACGTTGGACCTGCACTCACACCCTGTAGGTTCCGGAGCATGCAACTTTCCGGTCACACGGGTCCTGCACCCAAACTTCTTGCTCAGGCCTGCTAAAGACACTAAGTTCAGGCAGAAACACGGTCTCCGTTACTGTCTTCTGACTTGCAGGCTAGGTGAATGGACCAGTTAAGTGCTACCCAGAGGTAAGGTCATACCCAGACTGACAGGCCTTGGGCCAGTGCAGCAAAGTGGATAAATGAATTTAGCACCCAAGATACTATTTAGCATGCCATGGTGATCATTCAATGTTAGTTTCTTTCCCTTCTCCACATCTAGCTGGATTCCTGGAGGTGACTTGCATTTCTCTCTTGTCCCTAGAGCTGGCTTCTCCTCTATGTCACTTCCCCAGACTAGCAAATGGGGAGCAGAGGCAGAGTAAAGGGGGAAATGGATCACTTGGCATTGCCTCTTGCTGGGGAGGAAGATGGAACTCTTGGCCTGATGGAGATTTGGGGATTGTCTGAAGAGTAACTGATCCCATACTCCCACCCATCTCTGCTGCTGCACGTGTCTCTGACACATTCTCAGCGATCACCTGTAACTCAAAGACCAAAGGGAACTGGGATATTGAGGCCTGGTGCTTGGTGCTCAGAAGCTGGGCAAAGTGGTGATCCAGTTGACCAGGGCTCCTCACGCAGGAACCTCGTGGAAGAGAGAGACAGGCAGTAGGTCCCAGAGTTACACTTTGGAGCACATGTTCAATAGGAAAATGATGACCGGCCTCCACGGTCCTGGGATGCAGGTGTGAGGACTGGGAGTGCTGGACCAGGTGTGGCCAAGGGATGGTCAGGGCAGCCCCAAGCCGTGCCCCGCCCCAAGGACACTCTGTGCGGGACCCCGAGATTGAGCTCTGCCCACTTTCAGTGTCTATTGCATGTCACGCTGGCATCTTCGGCATGCCCACAGTTTGTCACCCCCCATTTAGAGAAGCTGCAGCGGAAGATGGTTTCCTCTGTGCCCTTGCAGGCGACATCATCCATCCAGATCCTCCCAGTGCCTGTGGAGACAGGAAACATGACTTCTAAGCACACATGCAGGAGGGCAGAAAGAAGAGAGAGCATGACGCTGCGTCTGCCCTTGACTTAGCTCTGCTGCACACTCAAATGTGGGGGCTTCCAGCTGCCCTCTCCATCCCACCAAGACCTCATACTTATTTTCTGGGATGAGTTTCTCGAGGGCAGAATCACAATATTTGATGGTGATGATGGCAGTAGCTATGAATATCTTCTATGTGTCAGGCAACTTACACATATATGCTTCATTAGTCTTCACCATGGTGCTATGAGGAGGTATTAAACCCATTTTACAGATGAGAAAACTGAGGCTCAAGGAGCCATTCGTACAGAGTCACTCAGCTTGTAAGCAGCAGATTCTTAATAGAAGCCCAAGTCTTACTGCCTCCCAGCCCATGCTTTATACCCAACACTGCTTTTGAAATGCATTATCCTGTGGCCATTGTTGATGGAAAGTCAGGCAGGACCACATGAGCAGGACAGTGTCAGATGAACCTTGCATTGCCCCAGTGCCCCAGAGCCAAGTTTGTCAGTACCAACATTAACTCTAACATTCTGAGGTTTAAAGCAGGTGGTCTCAGTATCTCTGAGCCCCAAACAATGGTTTTGGGATGGCGAGGACCCCAGAGTTTAACATTATCACCAGATATATATTTAAGAATGTGCAGGAATGGCTAGGTACAGTGGCTCATGCCTGTAATAGCACTTTGGGAGGCCAAGGTGGGCAGATCATGAGGTCAGGAGATCGAGATCATCCTGGCTAACACTTTGGGAGGCTGAGGCGGGCAGACCATGAGGTCAGGAGATTGAGACCATTCTGACTAACACGGTGAAACCCTGTCTCTACTAAAAAATACAAAAAATTAGCCAGGTGTGGTGGCACACGCCTGTAGTCCCAGCTACTTGGGAGGCTGCGGCAGGAGAATTGCTCGAACCCAAGAGGCGGAGATTCAAGTGAGCTGAGGTCGTGCCACTGCACTCCAGCCTAGATGACAGAGCGAGACCGTCTCAAAAAAAGAGAATATGCAGGAACAACTTTGAACCACAAGCAATTAGGTCAGTTCTCAAAATACAAGGTCCCTAAGACAATCTGTTTGATAGGTTTACCTATGGCCAGCCCTGTTCACCCAGTTCTTCAGGGCACCACCCTGCAGGCCTGAAGGTGTCAGGCAGCGGGACCCTGGTGCTTTAGTGGGCTCTCCTAGGATTGTACCTGAGCTTAAAAGGTATCAACTTGGCCCCGGGGTTCCTCAATGCACACCAGGGGAGCAGGGCAGCTGGTTAAGCCACTGAGAGTGAATGCAGAGGGCATGTCTAGGGTTGGGGGTGATAGAAAGGGGTGTGGGCTGCACAGAAGTCACTCCCAGCCCCCTATGATGAGCTGGCGGGACTATCACCTGTGGTTCTGATGAGCTGTCTTGGCCGATAGCTGGGCCTGGCCCCAGGTGGTAGGAGCCCACTTGAGAGCCTGTGAAGGGTCACGGGGCTCAGTGCTCCCATGGGAAGTGGCTTGGAGCCTCCCTACTCACAGTGAGGCTCTGGGTCTGCCACATGGGCATCACCAGGAGCCTGTGGGAAATGCAGAACCCCAGGCTGCCCCAGCTCCCACAAGCCAGCTTCTGCATTGTAACAAAGGGGCAAGACACTGCGGCTTGAGACACAGGAGCAGGGCCTGGCAGCAGGACATGGCTCCATCCAAGTCCGGCACCATCTGGGGTGACCACGTCAGTTACTGAGCTGGGAGGGGCTTCCAGGATGTGGGACTTTCACTGATAAAATCAGGTAAGTTCCAGGAAAACCAGGACAGCTGGTGACTCTGGCACCCTCACTTGTTATGTTCTGGTACCAAGAAGCATAGGGGTAAGGGTGATAAACAGGGTTCCAGCACGGCTGTGTACCCTGAGCAAATGAATAGAGGTCATTGCTCCTGCATGGGAAAGAGCTTTGACACCCACCAAAGTGTATTCAAAATGTAGCGCAGGTATTATCGCCTTGCCCCGAGCTTCCCACCGTTTGCTCCGCATCCCATCTCTCAGGAGCCGAGAACCTCTCTTTTTAGTGGAACTGTCAGGAGTGACTCTTAAAGCCTTAAACTCTGTCATTCACTCTTGAAGTACGTGGGTAAAATCCCTTTACAAAGAATGTCAAGAGAACATCTAAACTGCTTCCCTGCTGGCTGACTGTAACACATGAACTAAGTGGCGTGAACATGTTTTTGTTATGTAGACATGTTCAGCCTCTGTTGTCATGGGATTGCCATGCAGTGGATTCTGGGACGGAGCCGGGAGAGGCCCCTTCCGCCACCTCCTTGGATGCTGTTTCTTCTCCGGAGCCTCCTCCTGGCCTGGGTAGCTGTGGCTCTTACACAATCAGCCCTTTGAGGCAGAGCAATGATTTGCAGATTAAATGTCTCCTGGAAGCAGCATCGGTTTACAAATTACCCAGGAAAAGGCTGCAAGCTCCAGGGCTCTGTGGGATTAGTCACACCCAAAGCAAATAAAGAAGACTAACAAATAAAGCACAGTTCCAAGGTGACCCAGCCCAAATGCGTACATAGGATCTCGCAACTCCAGCTGGTGTTTCGCCAGAGCGTTCTGGCTCATGTCCAGTCGCGGGAGGACCAACGCAATGGGTATAGGGTCATCAGGGGAGGAGCAGTGCATATCTGCAGTGATGTCAGCACTGCCAGGCATCATTCAGGGAAAAATTAACCAGCAAACCGTCTCTGCTCCTCACACCACTGGGCAGGGGCTAGAGCTCCGTCGGCTCCAGATACCAGTCATTGCTCGAGCATTAGAACCGATACCTGATTACTCAAGGTGCGGTCTAAGGACCAGGGCTGTCAGTATCACCAGAGAGCTTGTTAGAAAAGCAGACTCTTGGCCAGGTGCCATGGCTCACTCTTGTAATCCCAGCACTTTGGGAGGTTGAGGAGGGAGGATCACAGAGATGAGGAGTTCAAGACCAGCCTGGTCAATATGGCAAAACTTGTCACTGCTAAAAAACACAAAAATTAGCCGGGTGTGGTGGCACATGCCTGTAATCTCAGCTGCATAGGAGGTTAAGGCAGGAGAATCTCTTGAACCCGGGAAGCATAGATTGCAGTGAGCCGAGATTGTGCCACTGCACTCTAGCCTGGGTGACAGAGCAAGACTCAGTCTCTAAAACAAAACAAACAAAACCCAAATTCCTGAGGGCTCTGTATGCTAAGTACCATTCTGGGGATTTGGAAGACATTGATGAACAAAAGAAAGACAAAACAACAGAAGCAAAACCTGTCGGCCTCATGGAGCTAATGTTTGAACTTCCGTGTGTTTATTTAGAGTAATATTCGTAGTAGGAAAATGTTACACTGAATCCTACAGGCTTCTATCTGTGCCACAAACAGAGAAGGCAGGATGGCTATGTAACAGGTATTTGAGTGGAAAACTGAGCCCCCAGAAAGACTGAGCAAAATCTCCAGGCAAGTAACTATTGAGGGAAGAGGCCCTGACTTGGCCTCTCATGTTCAGCCGGGACAGTCTTTTCTCCTTGTTGAGATTTACTCGGGGTGGCTGGCAAAATATTAAGGAAAATATTAGGGAAAAGTTGTAAGATATAGTCTCTAACCTTTTAGAAGGCTGAAAAGGTTTTATTTATTAACTTACAGAACAGGCTAAAAGCAGCCAGCTCTTGTGTTAGAGCATTAAGTCATAAGGTAGATTAAAGATAATAAAAGCTTCCCCAGTTAAGTCCCTTTACCCCACATGCCTTTGTCCCTACTCTAATTTGTTTACTCAGGTAAACTTTGTGCTGGATGGCCCTCTCAGAGGGAGCTTGTAGAAGAATTACCCATTAATAGTGTTTATTCTAGGCCCTAGAACCAAGACTTTTATCATTCTTAAAGCCACTCTTTTAACCGTGTTAATTATCCACAAGCTTGTTGACTTAGAACCTCTGTTATTAAATCTATACCGAGTAAGTGTCAAGCAGAACAAGGAGTTATAGTCAGTTAGCTGCAATCACCCTGCAAAAGCAGCTGATGACCGCCCCTAGCCCACTGGATCCACTGTACTCTGTGTGTGACAGTGTATTTCATTCATCTGTCACTGAGTCAAAGTCTGCAAGACAGATTGCTGCAGGGAGTGATCAACATCTCACCTCCTCATACAACCACAGTTCACAGCACTTAACACTCAGCAAGGGGATGGCAGACCGGGAACCATGTCTGGCCAATGGCTGTGGTTACAAATCCAGTTGTACTGGAATACAGTCCCACCCATTTGATTGCATAGTGGCTACGGGTGTTTTCCTGCTCCAAGCGCAGCACTGAGTAGCTGTGACAGAGACCACCTGGCCCACAAAGCTTGAAATATTTGCTCTCCAGCACTTTATGGAAAATGTTGGCTGACCCTTGCGCTGAAGCTGTCTCTCAGTATTTGAATCTTACCTTAGATAAAAGGATGAAAGGAGGTCATAATGCTATAATTAGAAGTGAACACTCCTAATTCTGTCTGCCTGTCTCCACCTACAAATCTGCCAATGTGCCCCCATCCTTACCTCCTTTTCCCTCTGTCTGTCTCCCTGGGAGATGCTCCCAGCTGTGCTAGGTCACACCCCCTCCCATGGCCTCCCAGGCCTCTCTCCAGTCATCACCCCTCCATCTCTCCACCTGTATCACTCCAACACCTCCTGGACCAATTTAAAATTTAGAACATCTTCAAGCCTCTCCCATTTGGGTCTTTCCTTGGTTGCCTCCATGCAAACAGAAAATCTGATTAGTATGCCCTGTCCAGGAAAATTTTTATGGTGCCAGACCTCTGGGAGAATGGTCAGGGCTTGGAGACAGGGAGGATTCAGGTTTAGCAGGCACTGGAATTCCTTCCTTCCATTCTTTTTACCCGCCCTCCCTCCATTCCTTCCTCCCTCCCTGCCTTTCTTCCTTCCCTTCTTCCTTCCTTCCTTCCCTTCCTTCCTTTCCCTCCTTCCCTCTCTCCTTCCTTCC